GCCCGGAAAAACCACAGACCAGTTCAAAGCAGGAGACCTGGTGTTCGCCAAGATGAAGGGCTTCCCTTCTGCCAGCCAGGTACGCACGCACGCACACACACACACACACACACACACACACACACAACACACACACACCACACACACACACACACACCACACACACACACACACACACACACACAGTGTAATCTTGTATGTTTAATCGTCTCTCAGGTCTGTAAGTCTGAGTCCGGCTTTAAGAAGCGGATCCCGTCTTCTACTTCGGGACCCATCAGACGTACGTACATGCTGCTGAATATCAATGACATCACTTCCTGCTGTAATGACTCGACTGATCTGTGATCGATTTATCATCCTTCCTCAGAGGTACCCTCCCTCCAGAGAACGTTGTCCCTTACGTCGGCAACAAGATGAAGTACGGCAGCGGTGTGCGCATCAAAGGCTTCTCGGAGGGCATGTGGGAGATCCAGAACACGCCGGGGTCGGGAGTAAACTCAAGGTCAGTGTGTCCTCTAATGCTTCATGTGTCTTTGTTTAAAGGGTTAACACGCTCTCTGCTTGTGGATTTCAGATCGCTTTATGTGTATCTTAAAGTTTTGTAAATTGTGTCGTCTCCTCAATCCCGTCACAGACTTCTCCTCCAGTTAAAAGCAGCAGTGTGAGAAGTTCTCCTGCTAAATCTCCTCCCAGTAACCTGCAGAGCCTGAGAGGAAACCAGCTGCACACAGAGCTACACCTGCTGCTGCGTCTAAAACTCCAACAAGAGCTTCACTGAGATCTGCTCCGCTGAAGACCACAGACTCCACTCTGAACCCTGACCCGGAGTCCACAAAGAGCTCAGAGGGCGCTGTGAATCTGAGAAGCAGAAGAGCGGCCGCCAGGAGCGACAGAAGCCAAGAGAACAGTTCTGTAGAGAATACAAAGGTATGGACAGAACAGTTGAGTTAGAGGTTATATATGAACTGTGAAATCAGAATCAGGATCAGAATCTGGGTTTATTGCCAAGTACATTAACACATAAAGGAATCTGACTTGGTGTATTGGTGCTAAATAATTAACAAGGAAATAAAACAGAACTAACAACAACTTAAATAATACAGAAGAAGAAGATATTACAAAATATGAAATAGAATTTAAAAAATGTAAAAAAGGTGACATGTAGGAGCTGTCAGTGGACTCTTAGTGTGTGCACAAAAAATAAGTTTTTAAAGTGGAGTCCAAACTGATGCCTCCTGTACGTCATCATAACCTCTGTAAATAAATGAAAGGTGATGTTTGTGTTTTGGTCTCGTCAGACAGCAGACACAGAGAGTCCTGAAACTCCCTCCACAGCCTCTGAGAGTCCAGCTGAGACCAGTACAGACCAGAGATCTCCACCTGAAACAACAACAAGTCCAGAGAAGACAACAGACTCCAGACACGCTGCAGAGGAGGCTCAAAGGACTACGAGGAGCCGGTCGCACAGTCCAAGTAACCACAGACGAGGGGACCAGGGAGGACCTGGACCAGTGGAGACCTGGACCAGGTGGAGGACCTGGACCAGGTGGAGGACCTGACCAGGTGGAGGACCGGGCAAACTGGTTGCAAACTTTCAACTGGTTTCATTTTGTTTGTTCTGATCAGGTCGATGCTGAGCAGCAGAACAAGCAGGAGGATGACTTCTACTGCTGTGACCTCACCAGGTACACACACACACACACACACACCCACAAGACACGCACACAGACACGCACACACACACACACACACACACACACACAGACACGCACACAGACACGCACACAGACACACACACACACACACACACACACAGACCACACACACACAGACACACACACACACACAGACCACACCACCACACCACACCACACACACACACACACAGACACACACAGAGACACACACACACACACACAGACACACACACACACACCACATTAAGGATAAACTGTGTAACACTTTCACTGTTTTTGTTTCCTAACAGTCAGTAAGAAGTCGAGGACGACAGAGTCTGAGGGAGGACAGAAAGAGGAGGAGAGACGAAGCAGGATGAAGGTGAAGAAGCAACAGAAAAGGAAGCAGGTGACACCGAAGGGAGGAAGACGAGGAGAGCAACAAGGTCAGAGGTGAAGGAAGGACACGAGAAGAAAAGTCAGATGTCACAGGAGAAATCAAGAAGCAGGAAAGACAAGCGAGAGAGCAGAGGACGAGAAGAGGGACGAGAAGACGACTCAGGAGGAGACGAGGAGAGCAGAGAAAGACAAGGAGACAGCTGAGGAAGGAAAGAAGGAGAAGACAAAGGAGACAGCTGAGGAAGGAAAGAAGGAGATGAAGGAGAAGACGACAGAGGAGGAGAGAAGCAGCGAGAGAGAGGGGAGGAAGACGAGGAGAGCAGAGAAAGACAAGGAGACAAAGGAGACAGCTGAGGAAGGAAAGAAAGAGATGAAGGAAAGACAACATTGAGGAGAGGACCAGCGAGAGAGAGGAGGAAGACGAGGAGAGCAGAGAAAGACAAGGAGACAGCTGAGGAAGGAAAAAGGAGAAGACAAAGGATGCAGCTGAGGAAGGAGAAGAAGGAGAAGACAAAGGATGCAGCTGAGAAGGAAAGAAGGAGATGAAGGAGAAGACAACAGGAGGAGAGAACCAGCGAGAAAAGGTGAGGAAGACGAGGAGAGCAGAGGAAGAGAAGAAGAAGACAAAGGAGACAGCTGAGGAAGGAAAGAAGGAGGAGACAACTGAGGAAGGAAAGAAGGAGGAGAGGACGAGGAGAGAAACACGGTCAGACAGTGAGGGAAGAACAACGAGGAGAGAAACAAAGACGGAGTTACAGAGGTGACGACAAAGAGCCGAGGAGAGCAGAAGAAGACGACGAGGAGAGGAGGAGGAGGAGAGTGAGAGGAGAAGACGAGGAGAGCAAAGATGCAGCTGAGGAAGGAAAGAAGGAGATAAAGGAGAAGACAAAGGATGCAACTGAGGAAGGAAAGAAGGAGATGAAGGAGAAGAAGACAGAGGAGAGAACCAGTGAGAGAGAGGCGAGGAAGACAAGGAGAGCAGAGAAAGACAAGGAGACAAAGGATGCAGCTGAGGAAGGAAAGAAGGAGATGAAGGAGAAGACAAAGGATGCAGCTGAGGAAGGAAAGAAGGAGATGAAGGAGAAGACAAAGGATGCAGCTGAGGAAGGAAAGAAGGAGATGAAGGAGAAGAAGACAGAGGAGAGAACCAGCGAGAGAGAGGCGAGGAAGACGAGGAGAGCAGAGAAAGACAAGGAGACAAAGGAGACAGCTGAGGAAGGAAAGAAGGAGGAAAGCCGAGAAAAGAGGAAGACAGAGGAGGACAAGAGACGAGAGAGTGGAAGGACTAAGATGAGAGGAGCAGAGAGAGAGGAAGAGAAGAAGAAGAGAAAGGATGGTCCTGAGGAAGAAGAGAAGAAGAAGAAGGAGAGCAGCTCAGTGAACGAGGAGGTAAAACTCTTTTTTTAGAATGAACAGGAGATCGATGTGGATCCTCTGACGTCTTCTCTCATTGAAAATGTTTTCTCTGCAGCGACAGCTCCGCTTGGCGTCCAGGAGAGAGAGTTTGTTAAAGTCTCTGAGAGGTTTGATGAAGTCTGGGAGAGGAGTGAGGAGGAGGGAGGCGATGAAGAGCTCGCAGTAAGTCACTCTCTAACAACACCTTTCTGTTCGTTCTGAAGAGTCGTTACATTCTCTCATCTCTTTCAGGAGGAGCGGCGACGCAGCGAGGAGGAGAACAGGAAGTCAGAAGACGACCGTCAAAGAGTCGACCAGCAAGAGAACCGGAAACAAAAAGAAAGAGGGAAAAGAATCCACGACGGAGGAGAGGCAGAAAGAGGAAGTGAAGACGTCCAGCCTGAAAACAGAGAAGAAGAAAGACGGCGAGAAGACGACCGACGACGTCACGACCAAAGAAACGGAGAGCGGGCCGAAGAAAGACGACGAGAGCAGAACGGACGGAAGGAGCGAGGAAACCAAGACGCAGAAAGACGAGAGAAAAATCATCGGGAAGATCGTGAAAGCCGGCGGACAGGGAGCGAAGATTCAGGTGAAGACGATGATGGGAGGAGCGATGACGGCGCCCGTGGCGGAGCTGGAGAAGAAGAAGAAAGAGGAGGAGGAAAAGAAAAAGAGTTCAGAGAAACCTGACGATCAAAAAGTGGAAAAGAGCGCCGAAGTGGAGAGGAAGTCTGAAAGAACGAGAGCGGCTACAGACGAGAAAAAAGACAGGAAGGAGAAACAGAAGAAGAGCGAAGACGAGGCGGTGCAAACAGCTACCGAGAAATCCCAAGAGAAGAAGAACGAAGCTAAGAGCGAGAAACGGACGACAAGAGAGCAGAAGAAGAAGGAGGAGAGGAGCGAGAGAACGGACGAGAAGAAAGATGAGAAAGACGCCGCCAGCGCCGAGTCGGAGAAGAAGAACCCGAGAGCAGGGAGACAAAATCTGCAGAAGAAGAAGAAGAAGGGAAAGTGGAGAGAGCAGAAGAAGAAAATCGAGCAAAGAGCGAGTCGGCGGACGCCGTCACGATGAAGAACGGGCCGACCATGACGCTGACGGACTCTACGCTGCACAGAATCCACGGAGACATCCGGATCTCTCTGAAGATCGACAACCCCGTAAGACTCGTTTATACAGCTCGCTGCTTTTCTGTAAACACGGGGTCACACGACCACGAGCCCGTTTTACCGCCACACACTGAAGCGTTTAGCAGACTCCTTCCTGCTCGCTCCGAGGTCACGTTCCTGCGTGGCGTCGGGTCGAGAACACCACAGAAGAATTCACAGTTAGCGAGCGAGCGGGAGGGGGAGGGGCGTGATGACGTTTCCATCTTGTGCTCGCTGCGGTCTGCGTTCATTCTGAAGAGAGATAGAACGACCTGTCCTGAGAATCAGAGAGAGCAGAGAGAATCACTCCCATGATTCCCCGCTGACGTCATCTTTTGTTATTGTTCTGATAGAGAGCCCCCTGGTGGTGGAGTTTACGTACTGCACCTTTAAGAGAATCTGACTTACTGTCAGCCTGTAAAATCAGCTTTCATCTATCTCTTTCAGGACATCGGGAAGTGTCTGATGGCGTTGGATCAGCTCAGTATGGTTTATGTGACGTCCAAACACGTGAAGCGACACAGCGAGCTCATCTCCACTCTGAGAAAGGTGAGAACAGGTGAACAGGTGAACATGTCAGGTACATATCTGCTGACGAGTCAGACAGCTGAATCTCAACGTGTGTTTTTAAAGCTGCGCTGCTACAGAGCCAACCAGGCCATCATGGACAAGGCGTCCATGCTCTACAACCGCTTCAAGAACGCCTACCTGCTGGGGAGGGGAGGAGATGGTGAGCGCCACCTTCCTGCGCTCCCTGCTGGAGGAGAAGGAGAGGGAGGAGGCTGAGCGGCCGAGGGCTGCAGGGAGAGGATGATGAGGGAGGAGAGGGAGGAGAGGGGGGACCGACGGAGGAGGAGAAAACTGAAGGTAAAAACACACATTCACTTTATTTGACTAATTAATTCAAATGGAATCAAAATACAGGAAATACTTTATGTGGAGAAAATCTTTTAATAATTGGATTTAAAGGTCACATATCCTCCTCTTCTTCAGTGTAAATAAGTCTCAGAGCTCCTCTTAACATGTGTGTGAAGTCTCTTGTTCTGAATCCACTCTGATCCTGTATTGATCATGTCTATAAACCCCTCTATTTCAGCCCTGCTCAGAACAGGCTGTTTCTGTGTCTGTAGCTTTAAATATGTAAATGAGCTGTTCTGACCACGCCCCCTCTCTGGAAGGGCTTGGTGTACTCGGTCTCGCTCCATGTCCTATTGTTTACGGTGAGAAGGCAGACTCAGAGGGCAGAACAAACACCTAGCTGTGGGAGTGTCACCCACCTGGGGGAGGGGCTACTGCCCTTTGTGATGTCATGAAGGGAAAATCTCCAAACGGCCTGTTTGAGCACACATTTTCTGAAAAGTGGAGCAGGCAGAAGACGGAGAGGATGGACTTTTCTCATCATTGGGGGTTTGTAGACTAGAGACACATGGAGAAGAGGATTTTAAATATGAGACTTTAAAGTTTAAACAGAGAATCACAGACTGACTGTAAAATAAAAATGAGGATTTAATCAGGTTTAGATTGTTGTTGTTGTTGTTGTTGTTGGCCGTTTGTTTATTTATTGGTTTCATTCCCCCCCCCCCCCCCCCCCCCTTCGCAGCTCCAGTGGAATCTTCCTGAAGTTTCTGAGCAGTTTGGACTGAACCAACTCTAATCTGAGGGGGTGTGGCCTTGAAACAAAGCCCGCCTCCATGAGAACAATGAGAACTTCCACCAACACGTTTACCTCGTCCTGCCTGAACAGCGCCGGTTATTTATAAACTAAAGCCGAGTGAGCGCGTCGTCTCACCTGCGCAGGTGAAGTCTGAACGCCTGTTTGTCGTTGAAGTCACCACTTCACCACATCAACATTATTTCTCACTTATTGCATTACCTTCGTTCACACGAGCATTAATCACCAACGCCACCTTTATGACCATTACCTGTCTTTTATGCTAAGCTATCTTTAGCTAACTCTGATCCTGAAACTTTGCTTCCAAACTTTATCGTCTTTACGACATTTTTTATAAAGGCCGAAATCTAGAAACACAAAGAGCTGAAAGCTAACGGGAGCCTTTCAATCCCTTTGGGCGTACTGTACCTTTAAGAAGGTGACCTCGCTTCTTAAAGGCGTTTCAGCGATGGTTCTTTTGAGCACGGTTTGTTCTGGCGAGGCGTTACAGAATCTTCACTTCCTGTTTGTTGTTTTCTTTGATGCACATCGCTGAGTTGATCTGACGCGGACGTCTTTGTTGTACGAAAGATATTTAAGAAGCAGCTTTAAAGCGTGAACATTAAGTCGCCTCAAAGACGAGAACACGTCACGTTTAAACGTGGACAGGAAGTCGTTTTCTGCGTGAAATGTTTTTAAATCTTTTTTTTTTAAAGTTTGATGTTTTCTAAAAGTCTGTGATGTAAATATGTTTTAAAGTGTTTTCAAAACGTCACGTGACTCCTCCTTCTTTCACTCAACGCTCGCCATCGTGGTCATCTGCACGCCAAACTGATGTATTTTACCTTAAAGAAAGAAACCTTTATTTATAAAGCCACACGGGGACAGTCAGGTGGGGTTTGAATCAAACTTTATTTATAAAGCCACACGGGGACAGTCAGGTGGGGGTTTGAATCAAGCTTTATTTATAAAGCCACACGGGGACAGTCAGGTGGGGTTTGAATCAAACTTTATTTATAAAGCCACACGGGGACAGTCAGGTGGGGTTTGAATCAAGCTTTATTTATAAAGCCACACGGGGACAGTCAGGTGGGGTTTGAATCAAACTTTATTTATAAAGCCACACGGGGACAGTCAGGTGGGGTTTGAATCAAACTTTATTTATGAAGTCATGTGGAAAGTCAGGTGGGGGTTTCAATCAAACTTTATTTATAAAGCCACACGTGGACAGTCAGGTGGGGGTTTGAATCAAGCTTTATTTATAAAGCCACACGTGGACAGTCAGGTGGGGTTTGAATCAAACTATATTCATAAAGCCACACGGGACAGTCAGGTGGGGGTTTGAATCAAACTTTATTTATAAGCCACACGTGGACAGTCAGGTGGGGGTTTGAATCAAACTTTATTTATAAAGCCACACGTGGACAGTCAGGTGGAGGTTTGAATCAAGCTTTATTTATAAAGCCACACGTGGACAGTCAGGTGGAGGTTTGAATCAAACTTTACTTATAAAGCCACACGGGGACATTCAGGTGGAGGTTTGAATCAAACTTTATTTATAAAGCCACACGGGGACATTCAGGTAGGGTTTGAATCAAACTTTATTCATAAAGCCACACGGGGACAGTCAGGTGGGAGGTTTGAATCAAACTTTACTTATAAAGCCACACGGGGACAGTCAGGTGGGGGTTTGAATCAAACTTTATTCATAAAGCCACACGGGGACAGTCAGGTGGGAGGTTTGAATCAAACTTTATTCATAAAGCCACACGTGGACAGTCAGGTGGGGGTTTGAATCAAACTTTATTTATAAAGCCACACGTGGACAGTCAGGTGGGGGTTTGAATCAAACTTTATTCATAAAGCCACACGTGGACAGTCGGGGGTTTGAATCAAACTTTATTTATAAAGCCACACGTGGACAGTCAGGTGGGGTTTGAATCAAACTTTATTCATAAAGCCGCACGGGGACAGTCAGGTGGGGGTTTGAATCAAACTTTATTTATAAAGCCACACGTGGACAGTCAGTGGGGGTTTGAATCAAACTTTATTTATAAAGTCATGTGGAAAGTCAGGTGGGGGTTTCAATCAAACTTTATTTATAAAGCCACACGGGGACAGTCAGGTGGGGTTTGAATCAGTCAAACTTTATTTATAAAGCTACATGGGGACAGTCAGGTGGGGTTTGAATCAAACTTTATTTATAAAGCCACACGTGGACAGTCAGGTGGAGGTTTGAATCAAACTTTATTTATAAAGTCATGTGGAAAGTCAGGTGGGGGTTTCAATCAAACTTTATTTATAAAGCCACACGTGGACAGTCAGGTGGAGGTTTCAATCAAACTTTATTTATAAAGCCACAAGGGGACAGTCAGGTGGAGGTTTCAATCAAACTTTATTTATAAAGCCACACGTGGACAGTCAGGTGGGGGTTTGAATCAAGCTTTATTTATAAAGCCACACGTGGACAGTCAGGTGGGGGTTTGAATCAAACTTTATTCATAAAGCCACACGGGGACAGTCAGGTGGAGGTTTGAATCAAACTTTATTTATAAAGCCACACGTGGACAGTCAGGTGGGGTTTGAATCAAACTTTATTTATAAAGCCACACGTGGACAGTCAGGTGGAGGTTTGAATCAAAGCTTTATTTATAAAGCCACACGTGGACAGTCAGGTGGAGGTTTGAATCAAACTTTACTTATAAAGCCACACGGGGACATTCAGGTGGAGGTTTGAATCAAACTTTATTTATAAAGCCACACGGGGACATTCAGGTAGGGTTTGAATCAAACTTTATTCATAAAGCCACACGGGGACAGTCAGGTGGGAGGTTTGAATCAAACTTTACTTATAAAGCCACACGGGGACAGTCAGGTGGGGGTTTGAATCAAACTTTATTCATAAAGCCACACGGGACAGTCAGGTGGGGGTTTGAATCAAACTTTATTATAAAGCACACGTGGACAGTCAGGTGGGGTTTGAATCAAACTTTATTTATAAAGCCACACGTGGACAGTCAGGTGGGGGTTTGAATCAAACTTTATTCATAAAGCCACACGTGGACAGTCGGGGTTTGAATCAAACTTTATTTATAAAGCCACACGTGGACAGTCAGGTGGGTTTGAATCAAACTTTATTCATAAAGCCGCACGGGGACAGTCAGGTGGGGGTTTGAATCAAACTTTATTTATAAAGCCACACGTGGACAGTCAGGTGGGGGTTTGAATCAAACTTTATTTATAAAGTCATGTGGAAAGTCAGGTGGGGGTTTCAATCAAACTTTATTTATAAAGCCACACGGGGACAGTCAGGTGGGGTTTGAATCAGTCAAACTTTATTTATAAAGCTACATGGGGACAGTCAGGTGGGGTTTGAATCAAACTTTATTTATAAAGCCACACGTGGACAGTCAGGTGGAGGTTTGAATCAAACTTTATTTATAAAGTCATGTGGAAAGTCAGGTGGGGGTTTCAATCAAACTTTATTTATAAAGCCACAAGGGGACAGTCAGGTGGAGGTTTCAATCAAACTTTATTTATAAAGCCACACGGGGACATTCAGGTGGGGGTTTGAATCAAACTTTATTCATAAAGCCACACGGGGACAGTCAGGTGGGGGTTTGAATCAAACTTTATTCATAAAGCCACACGTGGACAGTCAGGTGGGGGTTTGAATCAAACTTTATTTATAAAGCCACACGTGGACAGTCAGGTGGGGTTTGAATCAAACTTTATTCATAAAGCCACACGGGGACAGTCAGGTGGGGGTTTGAATCAAACTTTATTTATAAAGCCACACGTGGACAGTCAGGTGGGGGTTTGAATCAGTCAAACTTTATTTATAAAGCTACATGGGGACAGTCAGGTAGGGTTTGAATCAAACTTTATTTATAAAGCCACACGTGGACAGTCAGGTGGAGGTTTGAATCAAACTTTATTTATAAAGTCATGTGGAAAGTCAGGTGGGGGTTTCAATCAAGCTTTATTTATAAAGCCACACGGGGACAGTCAGGTGGGGTTTGAATCAAACTTTATTTATAAAGCCACACGTGGACAGTCAGGTGGGGGTTTGAATCAAACTTTATTTATAAAGCCACAAGGGGACAGTCAGGTGGAGGTTTCAATCAAACTTTATTTATAAAGCTACACGGGGACAGTCAGGTGGAGGTTTGAATCAAACTTTATTTATAAAGTCACACGGGGACAGTCAGGTGGGGTTTGAATCAGTCAAACTTTATTTATAAAGCTACATGGGGACAGTCAGGTGGGGTTTGAATCAAACTTTATTTATAAAGCTACATGGGGACAGTCAGGTGGGGGTTTGAATCAAACTTTATTTATAAAGCCACACGTGGACAGTCAGGTGGAGGTTTGAATCAAACTTTATTTATAAAGTCATGTGGAAAGTCAGGTGGGGGTTTCAATCAAACTTTATTTATAAAGCCACACGGGGACAGTCAGGTGGAGGTTTCAATCAAACTTTATTTATAAAGCCACACGGGGACAGTCAGGTGGAGGTTTCAATCAAACTTTATTTATAAAGCCACACGGGGACAGTCAGGTAGGGTTTGAATCAAACTTTATTCATAAAGCCACACGGGGACAGTCAGGTGGAGGTTTGAATCAAACTTTATTTATAAAGCCACACGGGGACAGTCAGGTGGAGGTTTGAATCAAACTTTATTTATAAAGCCACACGGGGACAGTCAGGTAGGGTTTGAATCAAACTTTATTCATAAAGCCACACGGGGACAGTCAGGTGGAGGTTTCAATCAAACTTTATTTATAAAGCCACACGGGGACAGTCAGGTGGAGGTTTGATCATAAAGTTATTTGAATATATAAACTTTATTACATTCTATTAATGATGAATCTCTTAAAGTTATCAGGTGTTTTCAGGTGAAGAAGAAGAAACTCATTGGAATTAAAAGGACCTTCACACCTGGAGTGTGAGCTGTGTTTTTATTGGTTGAATTAGATTAATAAAATAAAATGAAACATCTGGAAACGCCTCCTCAGTCTGTGTGTAGACCAGGTGAAGTCGTGCTCTGATTGGACGAGCACAGCTGCTCTCTGTCGGTGGGCGGGGACAGGAAACACGGGAGGTGTGTTTTCACTGACTGTCTGTTCAGGAAGAAGAGAGCGGAGGATCGGTGTCTCCAGAATCCTGCTGGATCAACCGACAGAAGGACGAACCGGGGTCTCAACCCGACGCTTATAAACCCGGAAGTAACCGTTGAACATCTGTTTGCGCGCAGCTGGTCGGAGCACAGACATGAGACTGTGGTGGTCCTGATAGAGGAGGAAGGACAGGCACCGGGATCAGACATGGCCCACGTCGGCAACAGAGCGAGCGCGGAGGAGGAGGTGCGACACACACACACACACACACACACACACACACACCGCCAGCTGCTGGCACACATCTGTCCTCTCTCTCTTTTCTTATTCTGCAGGTAAACTCCACTTTGTCTCTTTGCACACAGACTCATGTGTTCAGGTCTCGATCCTCTCAGAACAAAACGTTTCTGATGGTTTTCACTTCCTGTCATTTGATTTCTTGCTCTTGTTCTGAGTCTGTGTGTCATGTAGACTGTTTTCAGGTGATGTTTTCAGGTGATGTTTTCAGGTGATGTTTTCAGGTGATGTTTTCAGGTGATGTTTTCAGGTGATGTTTTCAGGTGATGTTATCAGGTGATGTTTTCAGGTGATGTTTTCAGGTGATGTTTTCAGGTGATGTTTTCAGGTGATGTTTTCAGGTGATGTTTTCAGGTGATGTTTTCAGGTGATGTTATCAGGTGATGTTTTCAGGTGATGTTTTCAGGTGATGTTTTCAGTGTTTTAACGGACTCTATCCTCTCGTGTATGAGGGACAAAAAATGACTAAAGTATCAATAAATAAATGAATAAATAAATAAATGTTGGGAGAAATATATACTATAATGTATAAATATATAAATAAATATCTAAATGCATCGATAAATATTCAAATGCTGAAAACAATACATCAATGAATAAATAATAAATACACTTTGATAATGAAAAAGGCTATTTATATATTTTTACATGTATTTATTCATTTATTAGTGTATTTCTACAGTTATATCTGTATCAATACATACATTTCCACATTAACTGAGTTATTAATTTATTTCCGTATTTTTACATTTACACATCTATTTATTTCTGTGTCCAGGTCGTAAGAGGAAAAGTATTTATGTAAATTTGCTTCTGTCTGTTTTTCAAAATTGACCAATCCTACTTCAGTAATGTTAGAGCGGCCCACTTAATTTACATATTTACTTTTCCTTGTACAACATGGACACAGAAATACATAAATAAATATATGAATGTATTTATATATATTTATTTATTGATGCATTTATTTAATTATTAATTTCTTTATACATTATTGTATGCATTTCTCCCAACATTTATTTATTTATTTATACTTTAGTCATTTTTTGTCCCTCATACTCGTGTAGAAGAGTTGATGATGTTTTTGTGCAGTTTTATTGTTCACGACTTCCTGCAGATTTTGATGTTTATTCATTTCTGTAAATATTTTCTTGTTTTCATTGAAGCAGCCAATCAGCTGATCGCTCTCTCAATGTTTCAAAAACAAAACTTTGACAATTTTTAAACAATTCATTCTTCAATCTTTTTGTGCAATGAAGACAGCGTTCACGACTTGACCTGACATGCATCAAACGGCCGAGGTCAGATTTGAACCCGCGTCCCGCTGCAATGAGGACAGTATCCGCTGTACATGGGGCGCACGTCATCACCACTAGGCCATCCTGCACCCTGTAATGGGACATTACCAATGTGTTCATGACTTCCTGTTTTCAAGGATCGGCTTATTTCCCAGTTTGGGATATTTCTTGTTTTCAATGATCAAAAATGGCGTTCAGACTCCTCCACGCCGTGACCGTTTAAGATCCCGACCGATGAGTCGTCCAGCCGATATATCGTATCCAGGGACGATCGCTGTCGGCTCATTTGATCTCTGATATGCAGCGACATCAGCGCCCCCTGCAGGAGCAGAGGGGTGTACTCACTCTGCCACTCCTCTCTCTCTCTCTGTAGATCTGTGACGTGTAGATCTGACATGTGTAGATCTGTGACGTGTAGATCTGAGCTGTAGATCTGTGACGTGTAGATCTGTGACGTGTAGATCTGAGCTGTAGATCTGTGACGTGTAGATCTGAGCTGTAGATCTATGATGTGTAGATCTGAGCTGTAGATCTGTGACGTGTAGATCTATGATGTGTAGATCTGTGATGTGTAGATCTATGATGTGTAGATCTGTGACGTGTAGATCTGAGCTGTAGATCTGAGCTGTAGATCTGAGCTGTAGATCTGTGACGTGTAGATCTGACATGTGTAGATCTGTGACATGTAGATCTATGATGTGTAGATCTGAGCTGTAGATCTGTGACGTGTAGATCTATGTTGTGTAGATCTATGTTGTGTAGATGTATGATGTGTAGATCTGAGCTGTAGATCTGTGACGTGTAGATCTGAGCTGTAGATCTATGATGTGTAGATCTGAGCTGTAGATCTGTGACGTGTAGATCTATGATGTGTAGATCTATGTTGTGTAGATCTATGACGTGTAGATCTGAGCTGTAGATCTGTGACGTGTAGATCTGAGCTGTAGATCTGTGACGTGTAGATCTATGATGTGTAGATCTATGATGTGTAGATCTGAGCTGTAGATCTGTGACGTGTAGATCTGAGCTGTAGATCTGTGACGTGTAGATCTGAGCTGTAGATCTGTGACGTGTAGATCTGAGCTGTAGATCTGTGACATGTAGATCTATGATGTGTAGATCTGAGCTGTAGATCTGTGACGTGTAGATCTATGATGTGTAGATCTATGTTGTGTAGATCTATGTTGTGTAGATCTGAGCTGTAGATCTGTGACGTGTAGATCTATGATGTGTAGATCTGAGCTGTAGATCTGTGACGTGTAGATCTATGATGTGTAGATCTATGATGTGTAGATCTGAGCTGTAGATCTGTGACGTGTAGATCTGAGCTGTAGATCTGTGACGTGTAGATCTATGATGTGTAGATCTATGATGTGTAGATCTGAGCTGTAGATCTGTGACGTGTAGATCTGAGCTGTAGATCTGTGACGTGTAGATCTATGATGTGTAGATCTATGATGTGTAGATCTGAGCTGTAGATCTGTGACGTGTAGATCTGAGCTGTAGATCTGTGACGTGTAGATCTGAGCTGTAGATCTGTGACGTGTAGATCTGAGCTGTAGATCTGTGACATGTAGATCTATGATGTGTAGATCTGAGCTGTAGATCTGTGACGTGTAGATCTATGATGTGTAGATCTATGTTGTGTAGATCTATGTTGTGTAGATCTGAGCTGTAGATCTGTGACGTGTAGATCTATGATGTGTAGATCTGAGCTGTAGATCTGTGACGTGTAGATCTATGATGTGTAGATCTATGATGTGTAGATCTGAGCTGTAGATCTGTGACGTGTAGATCTGAGCTGTAGATCTGTGACGTGTAGATCTATGATGTGTAGATCTATGACGTGTAGATCTGAGCTGTAGATCTGTGACGTGTAGATCTGTGACGTGTAGATCTGAGCTGTAGATCTGTGACGTGTAGATCTGAGCTGTAGATCTGTGACGTGTAGATCTGAGCTGTAGATCTGTGACGTGTAGATCTGAGCTGTAGATCTGAGCTGTAGATCTGAGCTGTAGATCTGTGACGTGTAGATCTGAGCTGTAGATCTGTGACGTGTAGATCTGAGCTGTAGATCTGTGACGTGTAGATCTGTGACGTGTAGATCTGAGCTGTAGATCTGTGACGTGTAGATCTGTGACGTGTAGATCTGAGCTGTAGATCTGAGCTGTAGATCTGTGACCTGTAGATCTGAGCTGTAGATCTGTGACGTGTAGATCTGAGCTGTAGATCTGTGACGTGTAGATCTGAGCTGTAGATCTATGATGTGTAGATCTGAGCTGTAGATCTGTGACGTGTAGATCTGAGCTGTAGATCTGTGATGTGTAGATCTGAGCTGTAGATCTGAGCTGTAGATCTGTGACGTGTAGATCTGAGCTGTAGATCTGTGACGTGTAGATCTGAGCTGTAGATCTGAGCTGTAGATCTGTGACGTGTAGATCTGAGCTGTAGATCTGTGATGTGTAGATCTGAGCTGTAGATCTGTGATGTGTAGATCTGAGCTGTAGATCTGAGCTGTAGATCTGTGACGTGTAGATCTGAGCTGTAGATCTGTGACGTGTAGATCTGAGCTGTAGATCTGAG